AGTGGAAAGGAGAGGGGGTTGGAGCAGTGGAAAGGAGAGAGGGTTCGAGCAGTGGAAAAAAGATTGGGGGAAGCAGTGGAAAAGAGAGGGGGTTGGAGCAGTGGAAAGGAGAGGGGGTTGGAACAGTGGAAAGGAGATCGGGGGAAGCAGTGGAAGGAGAGGAAGGGATGAGGGGAGCAATGGAAAGGAGAGAGGGGGCAGTGGAGAGAAGAGAGAGAGGGAGAAGTTGAGAGGAGAGAGGGGGCAGTGGAGAGAAGAGCGAGAGGGAGAAGTTGAGAGGAGAGAGGGGGCAGTGGAGAGAAGGGAGAGGGGGAGCAGTGGATATGAGAAAGGGGTGCAGTGGAAAGGAGAGAGGGGGCAGTGGAGAGAAGAGAGAGAGGGAGAAGGTGAGAGGAGAGAGGGGGCAGTGGAGAGAAGGGAGAGGGGGAGCAGTCGATATGAGAAAGGGGTGCAGTGGAAAGGAGAGAGGGGGCAGTGGAGAGGAGAGATGAGGAGCAGTGGATAGGAGAGAGGGGAGCAGTGGAAAGGAGAGAGGGAGCAGTGGAAGGGAGAGAGGGGGCAGTGGATAGGAGAAAGGAAGGGAGGAGGGAAGTAGTGGAAAGAAGAGAGGGGGAGCAGTGGAAGGGAGAGAGGGGGCAGTGGATAGGAGAAAGGGGGCAGTGGAAAGGAGAGAGGGGGCAGTGGAAGGGAGATAGGGGGCAGTGGAGAAGAGAGGGGGAGCAGTGGAAAGGACAGAGGAAGGGAGGAGGGAAGCAGTGGAAAGGAGAGAGGGGGCAGTGGAAAGGAAAGAGGTGGGGAGGGGAGAGAAGAGAGGGGATCAGTGGAAGGGAGAGAGGGGGAGCAGTGGATTGAGATGAAGGGAGGAGGGGAGCAATGATGGAAAGGAGAGAGGGGGACAGTGGAGAGGTGAGAGGGAGAGCAGTGGATGGAGAGGAAGGGAGGAGGGGAGCAGTGGAAAGGAAAGAGGGAAGCAGTGGATGTAGATAGGAAATAGAAAGGGCTGGAAATGTGCACTGGAGCATGCAGGGAGGGAACGTGGATGAGGGAAGATAAAAAAAATAATGATTTAAGAGGAAAGGGATAGTAGGGGAGAAAGGGAAGAGCAGTTGAAAGAGGAAATGAACTCATTAGACAGTGGGAGGGAGGATGTAGGAGGAATACATCACTGGATAGAGAGCAAAGGGGATAAGTGAGAGGATGGGAGGAGGGTTGTGATGACCTTTAGGAGGC